TTGTGTTCGTGTCGTTGTTGACCGGCGTGATTGTTTCCGCCACGGAACGACCTTTTCGATCCACGAGAAAGTGCCCTCTGTACCAGCCTTCCAGCCACCTACTTCTTCTCCTCTCCTTTCTTCTCTCAGCCCGCAGTATACTACGCATACAGCACGGTCCAGTGTTCTAGAACATCCGAGGCTGCAACAAATTCGAAAATACTGATAATAAAATAAAATTGTTGGGGGTTTAACATCCCAAAACCGAGATATTGTGAGAGACGCCGTATGGCCGGGCTCCGGAAATATAGACCTCCTGCGGTTCTTGATTGATATGTGGGTTTTAACGTCCCAAAACCACCATTTGATTATGAGAGACGCCGTAGTGGAGGCCTCCGGAAATTTTGACCACTTGGGGTTCTTTAACGCGCACCCAAATCTGAGTACACGGGCCTACAACATTTCCGCCTCCATCGGAAATGCAGCCGCCACAGCCGGGATTCGAACCCGCGCCCTGTGCGTCAGCAGCCGAGTACCTTAGCCACTAGAACACCGTGGCGGGGCCTCCTGCGGTTCTTTAACGTGCACCTAAATCTAAGCACGCGGGCCTCAAACATTTTCGCCTTCATCGAAGATGTGGCCTCCATAGCCGGGATTCTATCCCGGGCCTGCGGGTCGGCAGCCGGGTGCCTTAGCCACTAGACCACCGCGGCGTGTGACAAATCCGAAAGAGTAATGCTGCACCTACAACATCAATGTGAGAGAAACACGATCAAGTTCTCTCTCTCTTTGTTCGCACGATTACAGTTTGTCCTCTCCTTGCTGTTGCCACTTTATACGCGCAAACTTCCCGATCTCCCCTGCGCACCCATCTTTCTGTCTCCACTTCACCGCTTGCCTTCTCTGGGCATTCAGTCTGTAATCCTTGATCACCAGCGATTATCTTGCCTTCGCGCTACGTGCCCAGCCCATGACCATTTTTTCTTGATTTCGACTATGATGTCCTTAACACCCGTTTGTTCCCCGACACACTCTGTTCTCTTCTTATACCGTGGGGCTACACCTATCATTTTCCTTTCCATTACTCACTGCGTCATCCTCAACTTTAAATAAACCCTCTTTTTTAATCCTCCACGTTTCTGCTCCGTAGCTAAGTACCGGTAATATGCAGCTACTGGTAAGATGCTTTATAACGGCAATTCAAATGATGCAAGAAAGCTTTAGTATGCAATGGTTGAAGTTTGGGCTAGTCGGTTTATGCTTATAACAGGGAATAACAGCGAGAAAATCTGACAGGACACACAATAAGAAAGCACAATGGCGCTGCGTCATGCCTTCTTTATTTTCGTGTGTATTGTCAGAATTTTGCGCTGTTGTTTCCCCGTTAAGCTTGCAACCCTTTCTGTTTATGTGGTAGAACCCATATAAAGATATTCTTGTGATAATATACGTGGAGTGGGCGTTAAAAGTTCTAGAAGCCACGAAGTCCGAGAAAACTGAATTTCTCAGCAACCTGCTACTCTGTTCAGTCCGACTGCACAGTAGATGATAACGTTTTACAGCTCAGTCAAAATTCAAGACTTCAATTCAATTCAATTCAGTTTATTCCGACATCACAGGAGACATTTCAAAGGTCACAACAGTGATGCTGTGGGGCGAAAGCAAAAAGCCATTAAGGCTTGACGAAGGCTTTCGCACCATTTGACAACATAGCAACAGCAACAGCAGCATGAGATCATCAGTTATTATACAATATCAAAACATGTACTTCAAGGTCATGCCGATTTGCATTTTATTTACACGTTGAAAAACATTTACAGAACGGAGCAGTATAAATGGTTTATTGTAAGAAACTGTTTAAGGTTAGTGGCAGTAAGTAGCTCATCATCTGGCGACCATAGTTAGTACGTGTGTAAGGAATTTTCCAGTCATCGGTAGCTCGTGTGCTATAGGGGCAGGTATAGGGTGTCAAACGCGCTAAATCAGTAAGAAAAGAGTCGTGATTCTTTAAGGAAGTACGATATCGCTTCATTAAAATTGTATTGTATATCTCAGGCATTGGTTGTAAATTAAGGGCTTCGAAAATGGGTTTGGAATGTTCATCGCGAGGAACACCTGTAATTATGCGCACAGCCTTTTTCTGTAATCTATATATTCGGCCTAAGTTCTTTTCCGATGTGGTGCCCCATACTAGATAGCAATAGCTTAATGTAGATAAAAATAGCGAATTATATAGTAAGAGTTTAATTTTTGTGGCAAGAGAAAACGTAAGCGCGATAAGATACCTACAGTACGAGAAAGTTTAGCATGGACAAACTCAGCCTGATCCTTCCATAGCATGTTTTCGTGGAAAAAACTCCCAGAGTTTTCACTATCGGTTCAATCCTTATAGATTCTGAGCCAATCACTAATGATAAATCGCAGTTTACGGGCTTATTTATTGGACGAAAGAGCACAGATTTTGTTTTTGAGGTGTTTATAATTAGCGAATTTCTTATGCTCCAAATGTGCAGCAGTTTCAAGACACTATTTGCTTTGTCAACTAGTTTATGCAAATCGCAGTCTTTAAAAAATAAGCTGGTATCATCTGCATAAATAATAAATGTTGTATTGTTATCGATGTTGTCAAGTCGTTCACATACAGATTAAAAAGCAGGGGACCCAGAATACTTCCTTGGGGCACGCCATGTGACAGTTTTTTAAAACTAGATGCGTAGCCATTTATATCTACTTTTTGCTGTCGGTATTTCAAATAGGTTTTTATGACACTTATAAAGTTCCCCCGAAAACCGTAGTGTTCTAGTTTTTTAATTAATGTAATGTGGTTGATTCTGTCAAATGCTTTTGAGAAATCTACAAAAATTCCAAGTGTATATATTTCCTTTTCAAATGCATCGAGTATGATTTCTTTTTGCATTAGTAGGGCAGTTTCTGTTGAGCGCTGCTTTGTGAAACCAAATTGAAAAGGCGTCATAATGTGGTGCTTGGTTAAGAATGACACTATTCGTTTATGTAACAACTTTTCAATTACTTTAGAAAATACAGGTAAAATAGAAATTGGTCTGTAATTGGTCATGCTATTTTTGTCACCACCTTTGAAAATAATAGAAACTTTGGCTATCTGAAGACGACTAGGAAACGTGCCCAATGAGAAGATTAAGTTAATGATGTATTCTAAAATAGGAGATATGACATGAATAACATGCTTAACTGGACGGATTTCCAGGCCGTCTACGTCACAACACCTGCTATTCTTTAGTGACATGAAATCTGCCGTAACCTCCTGTGTAGTCACTGGAAATAGAAATGCACTTTCGCCTACTTGCGAACCCATGAATCGCGCAAAATTATTGTCGTGCGAGCTCTCTCCAATAGAGGTAAAGAATTTATTGAAAGCTTCAGCAAGGTCATCACCAGTTAGAACGCGGTTGTCTACAATGAGTTTAGTCGGGTATGTGCTATCATCCGAGTGTGGGTGGAGCAACATGTTTAACTTTTTCCAGATGGCTTCGGACGTTTTGGTTTTTTCAGGGCTGAAAAGGTTGCTAAAATATTCAAGTTTGCTTTTCCTTAATAAGGAGTTTGTAGTATTTCTATGTTTTCTAAATGTCTTCAAGTCTTCTTTGTCTCTAGATATTAGAAATTTCTGGTAAAGTGCATTTTTTACTTTTATAGCTTGAAGGCATTCCGAAGTAATCCAAGGCTTTCTTGCCTTGCGTGGTCTGCGTTTGCTTTGAGCGGAAAGCACTTGTTGTAGGCTTCACTAAAACGTTCGATGAAAACATTATACGCTGTGTCTGCATCAGTTTCACGGAAAACAGCGTCCCATTTTATCTTGGATATATATGCAGCGAACATATCAATTGTGCTAGGACATATGTACCGGAATGGGGTAGGCGGTGGCTTTGCATCCCTAAGTTGAAGCTTCTTTTGACTTAAAATTGAGTAAACAGGCAAATGGTCGCTAATATGTGTCTTAAGGACACCCGAGCAAAGAGGTGCACTTGTGCTATTTGTTATAATGACGTCGATAAGTGTGCAGGATTGGGCATGAAATCGAGTGGGGTGTTTTATAACATTTTTAAATGCGTTTGATTCCATGATATTGCAAAGTTCAAGACGTTGGGGGCTGGAAGTTAGCATATCAATGTTTAGGTCACCCCCGATAGTAAGATTGTAACCATTTTCATTGACCCACGACAGGAAAGTGTCTAAAAACGTAAAAAAGTTGCACATGTTACATTTGGGGGGGCGGTATACCACAGAAAAAATACCCGAAGAACATTTTACAGTCATAATCTCGTAATCGTCAGTAACCACAGAAAAAGCCTCGAGTATTTCACACTCAAACACATCTTTGACCAGGAGCATAACACCACCACCTAATTTATCACTGCGGTTCAAGAAATACGTGGCATAGCTAGGTATACGAAGAACGTCGGATTCATGGCGATACCAGGTTTCAGTAACCATGATGACGTCAAAGGAGAACTCAAACGATTCAAGCAGTATTGCTATCTCATCTGCCTTGTTTCTGGCTGATTGCGCATTTATATGAAGGTAGGAAATGTGGTGTTTTCTACCAGATACCAATAGGCTCAACTGGTGTGGCGTTAAGCAGTCTGCAGCCATTTTCTTTTTGCCCTGTTTTTCTTCTAGCTTTTTTTTTTTGCTAAAGGATGAAGCTCAACAAATTTAAACAATCTTTTCGAGATCGCTCTCAGTAGTTATCTGAAGCACCCTCGACTTCTCATCCTTTCGCGCAAAAATTTTGCCGCCTTTCGTCCAGGCAAATCGCCATTCGGCTTCCTTCTTGCGCGCTACAGTTTGTCCCAGTAGTTTTTTTAACTGTGAGCATAGGTGTTCATTGACGTAGACAAATGTCTTTCCTGGGAAACCAATATCAGCTGTCGTTAAGCGCAACTTTTTCGCCTTTTCCAGAACTGCGTCTCGCTTAGACCGGTTGTTGAACTGCACAACAATATGAGGGCAAGATGCATCCTTAGCAGTCACGCGATGGCAAATTTCTATGTCATCTTCTTTCACTGATTCGCCGACAGCTTCACCAATCTTCTGAACGACCCTGGTCAACCGTTCACCCTCCACGAAAGGAACATTTTTCACTTCAATATTTCGGTTTCGCGAGTACTGTTCTAGGGCGGTAGTCCTACGTTCATTGTTGAGAACGACCTGCTTCAGCTGACTGCAATCAGTCTTCAGAACATCATTTTGAGCCTTTAGCTCACCGTTTTCTTTTTCAAGCCGCGAGCACAGAGCCGAAATTTCTTCAAACTGCTTATTAAAAAAGTCTAGACTTGTTTTCACATCACGTATTTCCTTACGCAGCTCTCTCTCCAGGGCAGTCCGCATTTCGCGAAACTCTTGTTTCAACTCTTTAAAATGTTTTTCCATTTCGGCTGGCGACATCAAAAAACACTAAAAACACTATGGCAGCAGCAGCAGCAGCAGCAGAAAGCAACAGAACACTAAGGAAAGAAACAACGATAGTACTGACCTGTAAAAACAATATGCAATGGTTCAGTAGGCTGTGCGCAGATCCGCTGCTGCTGCCAAAGTGTGGTTCAGTACACCCGGAGATGCTCCGAGCTGAACAGCTATCCAGGTGGCGCTCACAGCGGGGCACAACAAAAACACGACCACGATGATCACAGCCGTGCCCTGATATGATACGGGGCGATGCGTCGAGGCTATTTGAAAGGTCAGCAGTCACTCCCACGATGACCACCGTATTTCCCTTGACACGGGGCAGTGCACCGACGACATGCGCTGCGCGTTGAAAAAAGCACACGCAGCGATGAAAAGCGATGTCAACCTCCAAAGCAGCTGGGACGTTCCGTCAAGAACCCACAGCAACAGCAGTGAAGAACTTTAGTACCTGTAAAAACAATATGCAATGGTTCAGTAGGCTGTGCGCAGATCCGCTGCTGCTGCCAAAGTGTGGTTCAGTACACCCGGAGATGCTCCGAGCTGAACAGCTATCCAGGTGGCGCTCACAGCGGGGCACAACAAAAACACGACCACGATGATCACAGCCGTGCCCTGATATGATACGGGGCGATGCGTCGAGGCTATTTGAAAGGTCAGCAGTCACTCCCACGATGACCACCGTATTTCCCTTGACACGGGGCAGTGCACCGACGACATGCGCTGTAAAAACAATATGCAATGGTTCAGTAGGCTGTGCGCAGATCCGCTGCTGCTGCCAAAGTGTCAAGTGAATATTCCCGAATCTCGTAGAAGATTCGGGAATATTCATCATTTACAGCGAAAAGAAATCGTATAGGCGCAGAACGAATACGAAGCGAACGAAGGACGATGGGACACGGACATACACACCCCGGCACTGACTTTTATTAAAGCGATGCTCAGCTTCCAAAATGTGCACTTGCAAAAAACAAACAAACAAACAAAACAAACAAACAAACAAACAAAACACAACAACATCAGTAGCAGCAACAACAAGAACAACAACCAAAATGCACTAGACTTATCGTCACACTTTATCAGCTATAGAAAGCAATGTCATTTTGAAACCGAGTCGAAGAGTGGACGCTGATGCATTGGTCTCCATTTTGCTTGATATAAATTGCCTCCGCTAGTACACGTGCCGCTTCGTCGTTGCTACTACGTAAAATGCACGTGCTACTCAGCTTCACACGAGCACTCTTTGAAATGCTGTTGCAGATGCGAACCTGTACTGAAAAAGCATGCTCTATTAGGCGGTCATTTATAAGAACGACCTGACTGGCCGATATACACTTTGCTACAACTCAGGATAATGTTATATACAACACTTTCCGAACACTCCAAAAAGCTTTTTGTGTGCCAAGAGCACAAAAAAGCTCACACATTTTGTGTTTCAAGCAGCAAACAAAAAACGTGTTCAGTACGCCTTGTGGTTAAGATTTCCCTAGGTTGCGGCAAGGTGTATATTGTCAAGTCGGACCATTGCATAAAGCCAGGTCGTTCTGTATAACGGCAGCTCGAGCCGTTGTATATTGACCAGTCGGGCCACTATCTTAGGACATCGTTCCCTGGGAGAGGCCTGTTGTCCAGCTGGCTCGGAATGGCTGCTATTCGGGTCCCTAAACGGGTGCACAGACATCGTGATTGTATTGCTGCACCGTCACACTTTCACAAGAAGGGCTACGAGTCGCCTCAATTTCAAAAGGCCGTATCAAGCCGCACATGGATCAGCAAGGAAAAGTCTTGCCGGGACAGGCCGCCTTATAAATATCTATTAATTTATTTTTATGCTTTATACCTTCAGCAATATACGTACACGCGCAGCGAAATGTCGCAATAACAAGCTTTAATTTTACGCCCCGAATGAGTAGTGCTATTCTAAATAATAGCGTATTCAACACTCTTTTCTTTGTGGGGCTTACGTACATTAGTGTCAGAAAGCAATCCTGACCTAATATGCCAGAAAGGTACGCACAGATTATTTAAGAGGTACTCAATAAATTGTTGATAACGCTTTCGTGCAGCCTTTCCTTCTTTCTTTCTTTCTTTCTTTCTTTCTTTCTTTCTTTCTTTCTTTCTTTCTTTCTTTCTTTCTTTCTTTCTTTCTTTCTATATTTCTTTCTTTCTTCATTTCCTTCCTTCCTTCTTTCTTTCTATATTTCTTTCCTTCTTTCTTTCTTTCTTTCTTTCTTTCTTTGTTTTTGGCTTTCACTGTTCTTTTTTTACTGCATAAATCTCGACCATTGCTGTATTCTGCGCATGAATAATTCAAACAATCGTGCCACGACAAATGTGGTTTTCATTACTTACGCTTCGCAAAAACTGAAGAAAAGAAAAAAAAATGAGCGAAAGAGATTACGGAATCTAGGTCAATGAGAATGGCTCTGCCTCGTCCACAGCAAAACGAATTAAGCAATTAAGGAACAATACCTGCCTCGAGGGAAAGGATAGTGCGAGAATAAAAAAAAAGGAATGAGCTCTGTTAACTCAAAATGACTGCTGCTCTGGGATTTGTATTTACGCTCGTTTAGCATATTCTAACGATATTAATGATCCCTACCGTAAAAAAGTGGGCTAAAAGGTGGGGGGGGGGGTATGGGTTGTAGGGAATAAGCTTTCGAGGAAAGAAAAGGCGCGGAGATAATAAAGGGTCCAGTGCCACAATGGAAATGATCCTTCCCCTCCTCCCATCTGTACTATTTTCTCCTTTTCGCTATTTCCTTCGAGCCATTTCAAAGCGTGACAAAATTAAAGCAGATTAAGTCATAGACAAAGCAAAGCTTTTCCTCTTTCGCAAGCCTTCCGGCCTGGAGTGCTTGCGCGGTAGAAGACGCCATAAAAATATGAATGATACTCCGCGGAACACCGGTGAAATGGGAAGGGAAGAATGAAGGGAGAGAGGGGCACAGTGGGAAGCGATAGAGATGAAGGAGACGGAGAAAGATAGGACGAGGAGGATAGGCGATGTTAATAGTCGTTTCGCCTCCTGCCGCCGTACTTCCCGTCTCATTGTCGCCCGTAAATTACGCCTGCTCCGGGTTGTAAAAGCGCGAGCATGCTATCCTGAGCACCATAGTACACACGGAACGCGTGCGAAGGCGTGAGACCCGTACACACGCCATGCGCAAATAACGGAAGGAGTGTGTTCGGTAGCGCTGCCTTTATGGCCGCCCCGAAGGCATCGCTTCAGTCCTTGAGAAAAACGTTAAGAAGAGCTATAGCATCCCGGAGCAAGTAACGTTAAGACCCCGTAGGGATAACCGGTTAATCCCGTTTCCTATTGGGTCTACAACGTACGCCTAATTAGCACTGAGACTAAGGGAACAAACGAGTAGGTGACGGGAGAGGAGACACTTGAAAGCATCTTTTCTTAATGTGGGTCGAATTATCATTCGACCCACTATACAAAAAAAAAGGTACTTTTCACTGGCGTACTAGTTAGAAACCTTAACGTCGTAATTGCTCGGTTAACGAATTCGCCGTGAGAAAACACAGCAGATGCCAGCAAGCAGTCTCGCACAAAGAGGCTAGGGTGAAATGCACCTAACCGGAAATTAGAACGCCCTTTGGCAGTGCGTAATGTCACGGAATAAAGGCTCGTCGTTTTCTTCTCTGTGTAGGAAGTCAAGCTGATTAGGCTGTCACAGATAATTGCATTGAAAAGAAAGCTGGCAATTAAAGTTGGAAGGGCTTCGTAAGGCGAGCATTTTTTATTATTCGAACGGCCACGCTTTCAGGTAGCAGTATGCCTGATGTCACTGCCACTTCGTTGTTCATCGTTTTCTACGTTTTATTTAGTTTTTTTATTGTTTTGGTCCTACAGTCCGTTATAACCTAAAACCAAATACTATATCCTCCCACATTCATCAGTCTTCTGAGCAGTATAAGTTAGCATAGACGCTCTGACCAATCACATTTGATCATTTCCGTGACGTCAAGCAGCTCTTGCGTGGTTCAGGCAGTATTATTATGCACACGTACTTTCATGTCACTGCTTTCGAGCCGAGAAATCGAACACTCTGGCAAATTTCATCATAAATTCTAGAGATTCTAAAATCACTTCTCAACCATATAGGCTATATTTTCACCAGGAACGACGAACCTTCAGCCATGGACATCCGTCGTATTTCCACAAGCGCAAAAAAAAAAAGTACTTACTGGTCATAAGGAAACCAACCTGCATGAATCACTTACATTGGTGATTGACAAGCACGCCACAGTTCTGTTGTGGAACTTGTGTTCAATGTTCGGCTTCAACTTACTGTACAAAATACATTTGATAAGTTTATAAAATAAGGGGAGGGAAGGGAACAGAAACATGAAGAAGGCGGTATAAGCCAGCAGCGAGATATGCTTCATTATTATATGATTTACATTTCTAAACCTTGCAATTTGGCTCAGATAAGCTAGCGCGAAGAAAAAAAAAGCCTCTGTTGCCCTTGGAAAAACTACAGAATCGTATCAAAAATACGTTGGCAAACTTTACTCATGCGCGAAATCTCTAAGCGATATGATGGCTGATGGATCCAATGATAAAGGTAGGGTGATCAGACAGGCCTCATGCATGTTTCTTGGAGGTGGTGATGACGCCTTAAATGCAGACCTGGGCAAGTCCACACAACAAGCAAGTGGGTGACTGCCGCACTATTGTGGCGTTACAAAACGGGCACGATGTGTGATAGGAGCGAGCTACCACACACGAAGTCTTCAGAGACTGATAGGCAGGAGTGGCCTTCAGTAACTGTGTGGTGTCGTGCTGCGCCACCCAGCAAGACATGTCGCGCCTTGTTCAGGAACGATGAACATCCCTATCTCTCTTTCTCTCGCTTGCACGTCACGGTCATAGTTGTGTGCAGAGTTCGCCATTGTGCGTGAGGGGGGGGGGAATTTTTGCCACGTCCTTAACACCCTCCCACTAGAAGAGTCAGAAAGAAAAAAAAAGCTTTCCGATTCCCACAAAAATAAAAATGACGCAACAATGTATGCCGCTCACAATGACCTAGGTTTGGTCTCTGCCTTGCCAGTTGAGAAGTAAGCCGTTCTCGGAATGCAGCATCAGTAGATCTCAGCCACCACTATCTTGAAAACTTGCGTCTCCATAAACACTTTACAATAAAAAAAAGGTGATGATACGTGTCTGACTGAGTAAGAATGTGCGGATGACTTGGCACTCCCCCTTAAATAATTAGCCTTTCACCTTTCCTCTCTCTCTCTGTCTCTCTGTGCGCACATCTTTGTTACGGTAGCCAAGTGCGTAAAATTTTAGGGTAGCAGTGCGAAAGACGAGGAACAAGAAACACACACGAACAATCGCACGTAGAGCTGCGTGTGATTGTGTGCGTGCTTTATTCTGTTTTCGTTCGCACTGCTTCCCTACACTGTATTAAACCCGCTAGCCAACAAATTCACCCGTAATGACTGGACAAAGTATAGTTAACTGT